TCAAAAAATTTCGAAATTTTACAAAGTCATATCTCATGTAAATTTTCGGATACAAAATTATATGGGGTATAATTTTTTTAGACTTAAATTTTCGATTGTAAAATTTTTCTCAACTTCTTTGCAAGTTCGATTGTGCCCTCCTAACTTTAAACTTCTGCGTCCGCCGCTGGTGTATCGACTACCTCAGTATCCATCAATTGACCCCATTTGATAGAGTTCAATCGACCTCCCTTGTTAACACAGCTGATCGTCTATTCCATAAAATCTTGCAAAATACAATATCGTAACAAGTAAAGGTTTTAGAGAGTAAGATTATCGTTCCCACGAGAAATGTACTTTAGTTTGAATTGTATCGATTCAAAATTAAACTCGAATGTAACCAAATTAAATTAATGAAGTAATGTTTTGATTGTTTCTACTAATATCTATTCAACTTATCTAATTGCACGTGAATAATGATTTAATAAAGACTTTATATGAGAAGTGCGTGTTAGAATTCCGACTACAACTATTGTTCTTCCATTTCAATTCTCAACATATATTATTTAGTCTAGTTTTTATATAAATTGATAATTGATAATTCAATTTTATTCAACTATCTCTTCCATTTCAATTCTCAACATATATTATTTAGTCTAGTGTACTGATGTGCGATCATATGGAATTCTTGTTTTGTTAACTGCAATTTCAAATCAAGTTCTTGCAACTGCAATGTTTTTATGACCATGCCATCGCATGGTACACTCCAGTTTCAATTCTATGTAGTTAGGCCCCTAATTTTACTCTTTTGATTAGCATCCATCCCTTTAATTGCAATTCAAGTCCTTGATCTTTTAATTTGTATCAAGTTGATCTCCATTCTTAGAATTAAGCACAAAATACTTTCTTTTTATCCATCTTTCATTTCTTTTCTCCAAAAGCTTGTCCAACATCGATTTTTACCTAAACAAACAATATTTACACGAAATTAAGTCTTAACTCCCTAAAAGTACTCCAAATATCCATATTTTGCTGCCTAAATAAGTGAATAAAACACACATATCATTTATTGCGTAGGTTGCACAGATGAATAGTTGGGCTTCTGTGAAGGTGCCTCTATTTGAATTGAAGAGCTATGTAATTTTTTTCATTAGCATTTATTCAATTCCCTCGATATGGTCCATTTGTAGTCACTATCTTCGATGGTGGTTGAATTACATTTATTTTTTAATTTAATAAAATTTCACTAGTTTATTCCTAATATTCCATCGTGTTTATGCCATCCGTTTCACTTTCTAA